TGGATCCACCCCCCACAAACACTTGTGAAGGCTTTTGTTTATGAGTACCTCCATTTGAGCAGGCAGGATGCAGCCCTGCATCGTAAGTTCTTGACACTGTAAGATGGGAAGGGCCAGTCTTCTTCTGAGAGTTGCAGCTCCTTGAGCCCTGAGATTCTGGTAGAGCCAAGCCTTTTGGTGTGCTTGTGTGGTTTGGGTTTTTAGGGCCCTTTCTGATCCATCTGTTGTTGACACTACATATCTGTAGGTGTACCTTCCTAGACAGACAAATGAGAGCTAAATTTCTGTATCATAACCATAAAATAATATCCCTTATTTGAATTACAAGTTACTTTTCCCTTCGGTTGTACGTATAATGGCAATAATTCTGTCTAACAATGGCAGTGGTCACAGCAGTCCTTATTCAATCTTGGCAGGAGGAAATTTTGCAGTTTCTTTGCATGTAAAACTTCCTTTATTTGGATGGTGCTCCTGTGACATAGGTCATTATGTCTGTAACATGTATTTATAGTTGTTTAAAGACCTAAATAGTTTATGGAATAAACTCTGTTACGATACAGCCAGGAGCTCTGTGGGTTTTCGTTATGCTATTGATTAAAAAGCCCACCACTACACAGTGAAGATAAGGGAAAGAACTGTTAACTGGTTGAAAATTCCTTTTACTCTGTATAAATAATTTCACATTTGTTTTAAAAAAGGATTCTTTGCTTTTTTTTTTTTTTTTTTTTTTTTTTTTTTTGTTATTGATTGGATTGTTAACTTAAATAGTCTGTGGCGGGTGTGACAGAGCACATGGCTGCAATTAATCTTGCCATGCAGAATCCATTATTGAAGAAGCACTAATGAGCCGTTCTAAGGCCTTCACTGGTCACAGAGCGCCTGGGAGCAGCAGATTGCTCCTGCCCTTTAATGTCAGTTTTGGTCTTTAGTGTTAGACAGCCAGTGTAAGCAGAAAAGATGTTTAGATTTTCTTTTTTAAAATTTGTTTATTTGTATTTGTGTCAAAATCCTCCTTGCCACCAGCCTGCAATCGCACCAGGTGTGAGGGACAAGAAATGGTCTCTGAATGTGCTCACCCCCGACTCCTCTGACCAGATGTCTGGTGGACACAGTGTACAATTAAAGCCAGTGGCATGTGAAACATGGGTGTCACTATAAAATATGGTCTCAGTTGCAGGGTTCAGATCCAGATGAGAGTTTTGACAAAGATGAGGGAGCTTTCAGACCTGATCTATACTTTAAAATATTGATTTAAGACAAAGGGATGAGCTGTTGGAAAACTTCCCACTGCAAGTTTTATTGTCTATGTTGTTTATAGCTATTGCAGCATAGCAAAAGTTTAGGTAGAGGATAGTTACGGTAGATTAGAAACTGTCGATGTTAACATACCACCTTCTCCTTCAACAGAACTGCTCCCAGCATGTATTTTAGAGGTCTGTCTATTGACTTCGGTGACACCATAAATATGTGTTACTGCTTCCCCCTGTTAGATCTGCGCAGCTGATACAGACATGTGAGAGTGATCCAGGGTTGCCAGAACTGAGCCACCACCTGAATTATTAACTGAGTTCCAGCTGCAGACTCTTTGCTGCACACCTTTGCCATAGCAAATGCCATTTATCACACAATTAGTGAAATAAGACTGTTTCTTCATCTTGACCACATAAGCGATGAAATTAAGCAAGAAAGACTTTCAGCTGTCTGGCTTGCGCGCTGCCACAGTGTCTGTGACTTGAACCACATTTTGGACTGCTCTTTGTGTAAAACAATATTGTTTGTAGACTGAACTAGCCTTTTTTTTTTTTTTTTTTTTTTTTTTTATGCAGCGATAGGGCTTTGTCTTCAGATATTCTGCCACAGAGGGAATGCCAAGAAGTGTATGGAGCAGGGATGGTGTTCAGTAACACCGTTCCAGGAAGTCTTGGATGTGTGAATTTTCTCATTGGTCATGAAAAACACTGGGTTTTGAACCAAAGTAGCAGTGAAACAGAGAGATTGTGAAGACGGAGAATAGTGAGGGCAGGAAAAAGAACTTTCATGTTTTGAGTATCTACTGACACGCTTGCCATACACTACAGTGCCTCATCGTGCTGCTGGCATAAGTCAAAATAGTCTTTCCAATGACACTGGGTTAGGGTCATGGTACCACAAGGCACCTTGTTTAACGTGAAAGAGGATCTGACTTAGAGGCTGCAGAAGGACATGTCCACAAGATATTCTTTTTCCCTCAGACATGCCATAAACCCTGGGCTAACAGAGAGCAATGTGCAGCTATGCAGACAGGGCTGTGGGCATTTTATGGACTCTTTTGTAGACACAGCATTTGGAGAGAGAGCCCAATGGAGTGAATAAATTGGTACATTTCTGCAAAATATTTCTGTATTGCCACTAGACAGAAGCCACCGTGGCCCTCACTCCACGGTTAATATTTTCTAAGCAATCCTCAGCCTGCAAGAGCCCGTTTCTTTTAGGCTTGTGGTAGGTGTGGCTCTTAAGAAGGGCTCTGCAAAATAGGATGGATCACTTCAAGGATGAGGCACCATCGATACGAGATGCAGCACAGAAAACCCGCAGAGGTGTTTTTGAGGCAAATGAGGAACAAGACAGTCAAGACTGATAGCTGGAAAAGAGCAGCAATGGCTGCACGGGGACAGAGATAAAGTAGTGAACAGAACCTGACCTTCATGTCTTTTGAGAAAGGGAGAGTCTTTAGCTGGAGTCTCTGCAGTGAGCAATGTGTGTACGCGGGCAAGTGAGCACGTGAATACATGTATGCATTTAGCTGTGATTTATTTCTGTAAGTTTAATTCCATTCTCTCTGTTTCTTTTCAAATGTGACTGAAGCTATTTAACTCTCTGATTAACTCACCTCCCTGTATGAGTTGTTTTCTGTGATATATTCCAGTACCGTACAATCTTTCTGGAAGCCAACTCTCTGCTCTTGGGATGAATTCCTCCCCGATGTGTAGTGTGGCACATTTGTTCTATTTACTGGTGTTGGAATGAGGTTCCGCATTTGCTGTAAATCAGATCTGGGGGAACATTTCAGTGTCATGTCAGGTCCTGCGAGTTTGGTAGTATCAGAAATCATATGAGGTCCTCTCAGCAAGAAAAGGTATCATGTCACATCTCCTTCTGCACAGTTGCAGTTTCAAGGTCCCCAGAAATTTAGTTTGGGCTTGGTCCACTGTAAATCTCAGTAAATTCTGACTCTTGTTTTGTGCTGACATTTCAAGGGCTCTAAAACCCAGTGATCTTCTTAGCCCATCTGAGCTCATCAGTACTGTCAAAACATTTCTTTATTCAAAGGCTTAAGAGTGATATGAGGAATGTCATTGATTCCTCCTTCCTTAAATATCTCCTTTATTTTCTATTCAATTTCCTTAATAACTTATGTACACACATTTCTTTGCTGGAATGGCTTAGTTTTCATATCACAACCATGTGAATATAACTGGAGAACAAAAATCCTTATTACACATTGGTGGTATCATGGGCACATAGAAGATATATATTCCCCACAGAATTATTGCCTTACCCACCAATTCTCAGCAACTCTTTGCTTCACTAGCTGGAATATACAGAGGCTTCTTGTCGGGTGGTGTGATGACACAGCAAAGCATCACGGATAGGTCTGGTGATGAAGATAGCACATCTATGCCCACATCTACTGTGGCCGTGCCTTTTTTTCTTACTGGAGAAGCAGCCTTTCTTTCTCCACTCTTAAAAAGACACTTTAAGCTGCTGGAGGTGGAAAAGATTTTTTTCCTACCCATTGGCTATACTCTAAGAACAGCAGATTGGCTAGAGGTGAAAACCCACACACCTGATGGTGTAAATTTCTAGAAGTAGCACATGGTAGTGCTGGATGTGCGTACCTGTATTTCTGTGTTTTCTGTAGATGAGCAATTAGCTATCCCTGTCCCATGCCCCCGACTGTGCACAGTGTTAGTGCTCACGTGTGTCAGAGAGGGATGGGACTAAATATGGGGCCTTCCAAGAAGGCCAGCAGTAGCTTTTTACAAGTGACTTAGGGACTGCCTCAGCCTGATAGGTGTGGTTTGGGAGTACAGTGCTTTATTTCAGCGGTGTATTTGTCTTGTTTTGTTTTGCAGAAGGAACACTGACCCTACATTTGGTTTGTTTGTTTGTTTGTATTTTCCCCTCCAGAAAGCCCATTGCTGACCCTGCTACTGTGATACCGCTGTTTTGCAAAGCTGGAGTCAACACGCATGTAGGGGCGGGGGTTGTAACTCTGGCAGTTTGTCCTTCCCGATTAGATGTGACTGTTCTGCTAGCTTTCCCTTCTTTATTCCTTTCATTTAGTTCATTGTGGGAGTTGGCTTGGGTTTTTTTTCCTTTCAGTTTCTTGTTTTGATCCTGGAAGGTTAGCTGTGCAATTTGGTTTCTTCTGTGCCAACCAACTCTAGTGGCAGAGCTCTTAAAAAAATTAAAAGCTGTATCCCTCCATCCTGTCTTGCTTCTTCTCTGTACGCTACTGCTTCCATTTAAGCAAAGTTTACAGAATGGCTTCACCCATTTGGACACCAGGAAGGGAAAGTCTGAAATGGAGAATAACCTCATTTCCACCAGGTCCTTCAGTCCGGTCGAAACAACGCTAATTGAAACTGTAATCCCATTTCTATTAAGATGGATGGGCTCTCTCTGAAATTTGGTTTGTTTCTGATTTCATCCTTTCTCTTTTTTTCTTTAAAAAAAAAAAAAAAGCCCCACAAAAACCAAAGCCAAAGCCAAACCATTTTTAAGAGCTCTGAATAAAACTGCTTTGCCAATGGGGAATGGGTGGGGATGACTCTGATTTTCTCTTGTGCCCGGCAGCGAAAGGGTTAATGCCTGCTTTCCTCTTGGATATCTGTTAGTTGCAGCCCATGTTGTGATCAGTCCATGTCCATGTGCGTTTTGTTCCCAAATTTAATACCGGTTAATTAACGAGCAATAAGTGAGCCTTAACAATGACAGTTGTTTCCGATCTTCCTCAGGACACCCGACCTGCCTGCAGTTCACCACAAACATGACTGAGGCTGTTAAAACCTATCAGTGGCAGTGCATTGAGTGCAAATCCTGCAGCCTTTGTGGGACCTCTGAGAACGATGTGAGTTCTTTTACCTTTTCATGCAAATAAGCGTCACTGCAAGCTCCTGTCATGCCTGCCCTTGAGGAGCACATGGCAATGGTGTGGGTCATGGCTTCACTGCTGCTTCTATACAGCTCCAAGGAAGAGCCACTCCTGAGAGATGGACTTCTCCCCAGTGCCCCTGTTCAGCTGTTGCTCTCTGCTGAAAGCACCGTGGGTGTCATGTAGGGCCACTTAAGATGGAGATACTTGCGGTGTGTATGCTTATTCAATTGAAATTAGCTGGAGACCATCAACTCACATCGCAGGGAGCTGCAGGAGAGTAGCATGGCAATATGGTAGTCAGGAGTAGATGTGAATGGGTGATAACCAAGAGATGGCAGGTATGTTTGTTCTGTCCCTGATTTTGCTTACTTTCTTGGCATGATTTTAAAATCTTAATTACAAGACTTGGGAAACATGAAAGCATTTGAACCGGGATGGTTAGGCCTCTCTCTAGTCACCTAATCACCTGTCCCATTGATTTCAAACTGTGATCCAGAGCCTGCAGCTGAACAGTGTCCTCTCTGCAGAGTTTTCAATTAAAATCTGGTGCTAAGAGGGTCCTTGGTAGTCTGTGAGAAACTTGGAGAATTGACAGTGGCTGGAGAACTTTGGAGGCAATTAGCGAACACTACATTCCCTATAGCAGAATAAATTTGAAGCCTGAAATTTTCTTTTGCTTTAGCAGTGAATAAGGAAATCTGAAAACAGGGAGCTGTTCTGTGTTAGGAATCAGAGGATGCTTCAGAGCAGTTTTTTTCCCCCTGAATATATGAAAGAGCTGCAGACCACATGGTGGGATCATGTCATTTCCATCTGTTTCGCAGAGCATTTACTCAGCTGGATTTTGGAGAACTGGCTAAGTCCGGGCTTTTGTCAAGAAAGGTTTCCCTGAAGGGATGAGATCCAGCATGTGGTCACATTGGAGCCCAGCAAAGCCTGTCCTCTTCTCTCAGTACAGCATATCCCCAGCCTAACAGCTTTGACTCCTTCATCATGAGGCTACCTTGGAGAGGAAGTCCTCCACTTCTCAGAGAGATTTTCCAGTTAGAAACTGAACTCCCTTTGTGATGAGAATGGCTCTCTGCAGCCTATCAGAAATATGGTGGTTGATCGTGGATGTGCAAACACGACGCCTGTAGCCTTTTACGTTCCCAATAGTCTCTTACTCTCTATGTTGCAGCTCTGTGTTCCTAGCTGAGCACTGCTGGTTACCATGCTTTTGTTTACATCTTGGCAAGAGACTAATTTACATCATTTTCTCTCTTCTCCTCTCCTTCTCTCCCTGTTTCCCTACTGTCTCCCCAATAACCCTGCCTCAGGACCAGCTGCTCTTCTGTGATGACTGTGACCGTGGCTATCACATGTATTGCTTGAATCCACCAGTCTTTGAGCCCCCAGAAGGTAACATATGCTGGAAGTCTGCTTTGAAAATCACAATAAAGTCCTTGTGGAGAAGGGAAAAATTTCAGAAAGGTGGCCTGGGCTGTGCAGAGTTAAGGAAGCTGTAGCAAAGCAGAAGCAGGTAGCACTGGAAAGAGAAAATTAATAGACACGGAGCTCTAATGTACTCTGAGATGTCCTATTCAATCCTGCCTGGTCTGTACCTCCTCTTCCAGGACATGGCTCTCCTGTGGACACGGGTACCTCTGGATGTCCCAGATGACACTGAACAGCTCAGTTTAGTCAACTGAATTGAGCTCCTGTGAACTGTGACTTTGGACTTCCTAAGAAGTTCAAAGACCCAGAGAGAAAGCCCCAGACAGGGAGATCCTCTCTGGAATAGCTGAGGGTCTGTTGTCAGGAGACTGGATTAAGAGGAATGACTTCCCTTGTTCTCTGGTCTGGCTGTGCCTCGGAAGGGTGAGGGTTTTCCGGTCCATATTACATTTGGAATGTAGTCATGTCCTCTGCAGGGGATTCAATCTCACTGTAGTACAACTGGTTGTAGTTTGTCACTTGGTTGTGGAGCAGAGGAACTAGTCTCTTACCATTATTGATTCTTTGACTAAAATCTGCAGAGAGCAGTAGAATTGGAGAAGGAGACATGTAAGTGCAAATGACTGCCATTTACATGAGGGGCAAGACAAGAATAATTACAAATCAATTATGCATTCAGGAGCTAAATGTTTGTATCTTTGATGAAGAGGAAAGTAAATCAGGAGGGGAAATTTTTGAAATGCAGCTAATAATTAGCTAAAGGCTTCTGTTTGGAAAGTAGTATATCAAAAGTATGAAAATGCCAAACACCAAATGGCAATGCACACCCAGTTGTGTTGTAACTTGTGTAGAAAGCTTACGGACACAACACCAAGGGCAGCAGAGCCTGCTTCAGAAAAATACAGGCAATTCCAAAGTTAGGGATATTTGATATCTTATTCAAGCCAATCTTGACATAAACTCTGAGTGCCTGGATTTGATGTCATTCCTATAAGAAAGATTTCTTCATTTGCAGGGAGCTGGAGTTGTCACTTGTGCCGGGAGCTGCTCAGAGAGAGAGCGTCAGCTTTTGGCTTCCAGGCCTGAGGAGCTCCAGCAGTCAAGAAACACTTTGCTCCTGGTGTTGCCATACCAGCACACAATTCCCATCCAGAACACAAAGACACACCCACATCAAAACGAATGGACACTCAAATACAGGAAGAGGTATCTGGTATTCACTGTCACTAATGCCATACCTCCTGGGCTAGAAGGATCGTGTACTTTGCCAATGCTCCGGATGAAATCTCTTCACTGCTATGCATGGTTGCTGCTTGCTGTTACGGGCTCACATGCATTATAGAAGGGGGAGGGTTGTTATATTGACATGGAGAAGTCAATTTTGTGTGGCCTTGTGCTTTCTGTTTAGTATTCTTTTCAAAGAAGAAGTAGTAAGATATCACCCAAGGAATTATTGGTGAGTACTTTGGCTGGGAGCAGCACCAGCTGTTTCTCTTCACAGACTTGACTAGAAATCTCTTTGCTGCAACCACTCTGTATCTGTAGGGGGGCTTTGAGAGTTGCATTAGTTCAATACTTCCCAGGTCATGAACAATACGTCATTGAGAGAAGCGCTGATCAAAAATTTTGGGGGTGATGATTTCTCCCTTGGATCAAATGCTTCGATTTGGCAGATCTTTAGAAATCTGGTTTTAGTATCTCTGAAGGAAGAACAGTGCCAGTGTGTACACATACAGATGCTTCGAAAAGCCTGCTATCTTTGGGATTTCAGGATATTCAGGCCCACTGTCCCACTGCAGTGCCAGCAGTACAGTCCAGACTCATCATTCTGGGGTTTTTTTTTGAAAATTGTGAATGGTTATGTATGTAACTGACTTGCTGTTTAGCTCAGAAAATTAAAGAAAAGAAAAATATCATCTTAAGTTGATCATAGAAAGTAAAATTGTCAGTTTTCTGAGCAATCTAAAGTAAACTGCAAAAAGGAACAACTTTGGCTTAGGGTCAAATAAAGCACTTTTGATTAATTTTTTGAAATTTCTAAACTAAAGTGTTCTGCAACTTAAAATTGCATTTTATTCTGGAAATTCCCTAATCAAGACTTCCATCATTTCCAAAGTGTTACTTTTTTTTTTTTTTTTTTTTTCCCGATCTAGCTGAATTTTCAAATAATTTTGCCCCCAATTTCTCTACAACTGCTTTTTTGGCAAACATGATAAGTTGTCAGAAAACCTTCCCCAGCTCTAGAGAAGGAAATAATTTACTGAACCTAATATGAAAAGAAAGATTTTCATAATGATTTTTAAATTTAAATAGAAATAGTTGTACTTCATTTAAACAAACCTCTATGTGTGAAATGAAGAAACATTAAGCAAGAGCATCAATTGAATATTACGGTTGAGTCTCTCTGAATAATTTAAGACATCACTAGGAGGACAAGTGAGTACATTAAAGAATTTCTACCAGATACATCTTTAAGGTTAAAAACCTGCAACTCCCTGAACTGCCAAATAGCCCAGAATGACCATTTTCTTGAGTATGATGTATATTACTTTCTATGCATAGATTTAAGTGGGTTTATAATACAAATTTATGAGAGTCCCAAGCAGCATGTGACTCAGGTCGCTTGTACAAGTAGGTAAGGACACTAAAGATTATATTTGGCATCTTTATATTGGTTGAAACTTTTCCACAAAATTAAATGTCCCTGAACACTTGAAAGGATATTGTGAAAGAATACTGGTGAGGTAATTTTTCTTCCCTCTCCTGCTAATTACACTTAGTTAGTATGAGCTATACTGACCTAATGCACTTTCCCTCATTATTTAGATAGTTTCTCCACCTTTTGCATTTTGTTCAGCCTGCATGCCAAAAGTAGCCGTGTCAGCTGCGGGATTCTCCCACATGCTGTCGGCAGCCTCTTCTCAAGCTGCAGCAGGAGTATTTTAACCTGTTAAAAAGAAGATTTATAAAGTATTTATCTTAGTTGTATTGGACCAAATCTCTTGTGTAGCAGACTCACTGGCTACCTGTGAAATTCATCAATACAGAATCACAGAATCACAGAATCATCTAGGTTGGAAAAGACCTTAGGCTTTCCATGTGATGGTCGCACAGATGAACTAAGAGTACAAAGAAATTTGAGCATCAGGTGTGGGGACAGTAAAGCAGAAGCCCATGGACATGCATGAGGTGTCTGGTGCCTTTTGGGACAAAGCTCTAGAAAAAATGTAAAATTAAACATCTTTCCCCCAGTCTGGAAGTGCCCTGGCCCTGGGGAGCACTTGGGGGCCACAACTCACCGACATGAGCATTTGCACCCACCTGTTGGTGTGGTTGAACCCTGCTGGCCTGGCTCTTTGGGACCATCGTACACTTCAGACTGATCCAAATTCCTGTTGCTGCTGTGGCCAGGAGTGCTTGTATGTGTTCACCAGGACACTGCTGGGCTTCCTCATGGAAAGCATGTCTTTTGGCAAGAGGGACAGGAGCTGAGAAGTGTGTGCACTGGAGGAAAGTTTTGTGGTGGTGCTGGTGGTGGGAGCAGCAGAGGTGGGTTAGGGTTTGGGCTGGTGCTCAGCTACCAGCCCTGCTGGGCTTAGGGAGTTTCGTCATAAAAACGTCTGTTGCCTTCCAGTTTCCTGGTATTTTCATTGACCTTGGAAGAGGAGTACGACAATGTCTGCATTATCAAATGGAAAGGAAAATGCATATTGTTTTAGCCAGTGCATTAGGGAGACAGTGGTGGCTCATCAGGTAAGTCTCAGGTAGCCCTGTTGGTGGGACTGGCTGGTGCAGAGTCAGTGCTCTCCATCCCTGTGACAGAGACAGTGCTAAATGAGCTGTGCTCTGCACATACACCTGCTTTCCTATTTTGTGATTTTGATCCATAGTGCTGTTTCCTCACCCCACAACTGTTCTGCAGTGAACAGTGTCTTTCATGTTTGCAAATATTCCTCAGCTACCTTGCTGAAGTTTATCACTAATGAAATATGATGGAAGGAGAGATTGCTAGACCTTCAACAGCAAAATATTGTTTGCTGTTTGAGATCCGTGTAATAGGGTACTTACCCAAGGTGGTCCAGCTGCGTTTCATTTCCTCAGCTTTGTGCTGTGTCGCTGTGTAGCCAGGCAGCGCCAGGTGGCTTTGGCAGCAGATGAAATACCAGCTCTCCCATGCTGAGAACTTCCTCCAGATACAGGCTCCCTTCCTCACTAGCTCACTATAAGATAAGGGGCTGGGACAGACCTCTGAGTGACATTTTTAGCAGGTATTCAGAGCCATACATCTTGGTGCACTTTAGAAATATTAATCGATCCGCCAAGCGAACAATGCTGTACCCACTCTACTGGGATGTGGAGAGGTTGTGGCACAGCCATGGGGGTGAGGAACAGGTGTTCAGAAACTCTGACAACAGACTCCCCGTCACCTACCCACTGGGGACAGCCTTCCTGCATGACCACTGGCATGAACAACTTGGGTGACACCATCCGCTGTCAGGCAAATCTTGAGACCACTTGTAGCAGCGATCTGGTCTGGGCAGTAAGCAACGTGAGGACTCTGGCTCTGTATGCCTTTGTCTCTTTTGCTCTGGCAGGATGTGCAAATTTGTTGGAAGCCCCTGAGGTGATCAAACTCTGGTGTATTTCAAAACTCTTCTGTATAGGCAAGGCAAGCAATATTTTAGCACAAATCAGGGCAAACTACCATGGGAGATGGTAGATCCTGCATCCCTTGAAATCTTCAAATCAAGAATGGGCAGCTTCCCAGAAGATATATTTTAATTAAACACAATTTTAGTTAATCACAGGAATGTCTGACTGAAAAGGGCTTGTGTTATAGAGGAAGTCAGGCTGGATGATGTAATTGTTCTTCCTGTTCTTATTATAAAAACAGATGTTTACTGTGGGAGAGGATGTATTTAAATACAAGCTGTGTCTGCATAATGGCCTTAAAGTATGTTAGTTAAACATAATAATGTGATCCTTCTCATTTTTAACCCATTTTGATAACCTAAAAAAGTTCAGTTATAGGAAATCACCTTACTGATGCAGTAAATGGCGCGTTACCTCCTTCATGCCCATGATGGCAGCTACATTGGTGTTAGCTATCTCGGGCTGTTCCAGAGATTGAACAATTCAGACCTATATTGCATGAAGGCATGGCTTGGTCCTGGCTTTCCCTCCATCATATTTGTGTGCTGTCTTGCCCAGTTTTCTGCCCCATGGTGGAAAGACTGGCTGGGGAGGGGAGCTGCTGCAGTGGCAACCTCAGAAGACAGAGGGATGGAGAAATGGTCATAAAAAGTGGATGCACCCAAGTCATACCACTGTGGAGGTGAGCTCCTGCTACCGTCAGAACCTCCCCTGTAGCTTGGAAAAGGCAATACCCTTAAGATGTATGAGATGGGTCCCATTCTGCCTCCAAACTGTACGTCCATAGACATGTCTTTGGACTGAGTTTACAGCATTTCTGTCAACATACCTTAGGTCAGTTCTTGAGCTAGGAAAGCCACCATTAAGTGTGCTCTTTTGAAGAAAATGTTGCTCTAAACAACTTTGAAATGAGCTTTCTTTGAAAGTTTAGTAAATTTTGTCCCAAAGGAAGACTCTCCTGCACCATGGAGTGTTACGGAGCTGTTGCCTGTTCTTTGCACCTACAGCATGTGTTGTGACAGAGGTCATTTGGGAGGTGAAGGGTGGATGGGGGTAGAAGGGAATATTAATTTTGTCACTGCCGGAGGGATAGTGTGCATTTTGCACAAGAAAATTCTGAGTAGAGCTGGGCATGATTTTTCTGCATGGAATAAATATATTTTTTTAAAATGTGCTTTTCAGAGAACCACAATTATTCACATGTCCAAGTTCAATCTGGCAAATTATTTCATACAAAAATTATGGGGGGAATATTGGAAGAGTTGAAAATACTTATTTCAATCTTTTTAGAATTAATCACTTCAATACTTGAAAAATTTGAAAATTAAGTAGCCTTCATTTGATACAAAGCATTTAATGTGGATCTTAATAGTTTTCAGGTCTAACTGAATTGAAATTTTCCAAATTTTCTGATCTTGTGTCATATCCACCACTGTGTATCTGGTTAATTCAGTTTCAGCATGTCAAGAAACTGCATTAGAGAGAACTTTACAGTATTGACTTAAAAGAAAGCAGCTATGGAGGAATAAGAATCTTTAACATGATGCAATGGGTTCATCTGAAAGTAAGAAAAGATAAAATGAAGGAAAATGTAATCTTGAATGCTAGAAGCACTTTCTTAGAGTGAGAAATCTTGGTTGATCTTACTTGTCTATCTGTCTATCTAATCAGTTGGAGATGCCAACTGTTAGTTTATAAAACTGTCTTGCAGAGCAGAAGGGGGAAACACTTTATGTTTTCCTGATATATAAAAAAAAATGGACAAAGCAAAAGAGATTGTATTGGGAGAAATTTGGTACCAGTCTGGGAGGGCAGAAAATGCAAATCTTCTCGAGGAGATGATTAAAAGTTGGGTTGTCTTGTCAATTTTGTTATGGGAGGCTGAGAACTGGACAAGAGGAGGTCCTGACCTGAAATTTTAAGAGCTGACCAGATCTACATTTTTGTGAAGTTCTGTAGAGAGGAGCTGGCAGACAGGACAGCAAAGCCCTCTTCTCTAGACAGTTCCGCGTTTGTTATGGTCTTCACAACTCATACGTTTGTGCGATATACTACATGGCAGGGCATGGGAAGTATTGTGTTATTTTTCTCGAGGCAGCCAGGCAGAGTGACCACCACTGCTGGGGCAGGAGCAGGTAGAGGCTGTCCCTCTCCTGCCCCAGCCCCCACAACAAGGGGTATCTGTAGAAACAACCCCCAGCCAAACAGACAGAGGTGCTCACATATTTACTCATTGCCAATTGTAGGCCTCGATTGACGGCAGCTGCCCCGAATGGGAGAGAGCCCATCCATCAGAGCTGCTGGTTGTGCCAGGCTGCCCGCTGACCTGGAGAGTCTGAGGTTAGCTGAAAGCATGACATTTCACCCCACCTAAGTGGAGTTATAAAGTGAGGGGTTTATTTCCACTTACAACAGGGATTGCAGCACTGTGTGGGCAGGTACCCAAACTATCTGTGTCTCACTTCTGGAGAAAAGGCAGGATGGCAATTCTTAGCTGTTGAAAGCACTTGGAGCCCGCCAACTGCATGCAAGCACTGAGTGCTGCCATTTACTACAGTGCTGCAGAGCCAGGCTGTAGCAGAGCAAGCACAGCCAACTCTTCCAGGTTGTTCCTTACATCATTTATTTCTGCCAGCCAAGGGCCCATGATGCTGCCCAGGGAGATGGGAGCAGGTGACAAGTCAGAAGTTGGATGCTGAAGGTCCAAGACCCTGCAGAGGAAATGAAAATTTTTAGTTACTGTGGCTGCGCTTCTCCTCAGGTTAAAGAGGGCAGGAGCTGGGACTGGCAGGCAGTCAAACCCATCTTCAGCGGTGATATAATTACTAACAACGACCTTCAGCCCCAGCAGTAGTTAAATGGTTTTTCAGGGCAGGCACCAAACCTGGTCTGGTTTAGATAAGATAACCTCAGTTTTGCTGGAGGGGAAGGGAGAGGTGTGTGTGTGGCGTCTTTGGTCTGAAGGGGACTGAATTACAAGCGCAGGTGCCCAGCCCACTCCCCATTGCGTGCCCATGGCAGTGCAGGCTCAGGCAGCCTCCTCCCTGTCAGTGCCAGTGCCATCGGCTGGGGCCAGAGCATCACATCCCTGCTCCTGGGGAGCAGTTCTGCAGAGAGGGTGCTGGACCTGTCCCAGCTCTGTCCCCTGTGATGCCGGCTGGGGCACAGGGTCTCGCTGTGCTGCAGACAAAGGCAAGAGTGACCAACGCTGCCGGGCAGCATCCCTGGCCCTGGGGGGACAGTGGCTGTCTTGAAGGATCCAGACTGCAAGATGTGTGAGCACAATTCGGCTGTCCTGAGGGACAGGTCTTGGCGTGGGGCAGAGGAGAGGTGTGTTACAGCTGCATTGCTGAGGAGTTTGGCAAGTCCCACCACCACTGTGCATCGAGATGCTTAACTGGAGGGGGGAAAGATAAACAATAGCAATTACTTCTGGGGGACAAAAGGGTTTTTAGGGTTTACTCTCTTATTGCATAAGTATCAGTGAAAATGCCAGGCATTTTTCAGCTGGAGAATCAAGCCAATAGCTTATTAATATTTGGGGTGTGTTGCTGCCACATTGGATGAAAATGTAAAGTATTATTACAGTATTCACCCGTGCATTTAGAATTTATGTTGTTAATGCTGTTTTGAAATGAGTAAACTACTATTTCCAGATGAGCTTACCTCCCTTTGTGTATGTGAAGCTAACAACAAAACACTTCATACCAGGAAATTGCTGATTTTTCAGGTATTGATGTTTTCTTTCAGACTCCTGTCAGTCTAGTCATCCATCTGATTCAGTTCATTGTAAGAAACTATAGGTTTCACCTCCTTAGTGACTCAGGAATCGTTTCCTCTCTCCCCACTTTTCAGAAGTCAAGGAGAGAGAAGGGCAGGTTTTATTCTTCGTATTCTGGAAGAGTGATAAAGAATGACAAGTCCATTCCATGTTCATCTCCTTTCTATGTCTTGAATGATTGAATTGGTTGGCTGGGAGAGCGCTCCTTGTAGCAGTCTGAAGGTCTTTGCTAGCATATCTCACCTGTGCATGAGATCTCAGTCTGAAGTTTTGTCCCCTTGGATAAAGACTCTTCCTGCTGTTGCCATATAAGACTTTGAAGCTGCTCATCAAGAAGCCATGTGCCTACAGTCCTGAAAATCAAGATAAGGATTTCCCTTAGATTTGTCAAGATTTTCTGCCTGGAAGGCCAACCCCTGATGGCCCATGAATTCTGCTGGAGCACAGATCTGTTTCCAGCCCAAACATCTGGTGCTTCTGGAATCGAAACTGCATTTTGATGTCCACTATGCACTGCCAGTGCAAACTTTGCCAGAAATACTAAAAGGGAACTATCTGCTGAAAATCAGAGAATGAGACATGAATGTTATGCCTAATGTACTCTTCCTTCATAGCTCTCCTAGGAGTGTAACACAAGAAGCGTGCCCCTGCATCCTTTTGGGAAGGCAAGCGCATGAGGAGTTTCCAAGTGTCATCTGCTTTGAGCTTCATTACAGAATATCCGTTATTGTTCATTCTCATTTTTTCCTTCTCTTACAATATATTTCCGGATGTCAGAGACAATGTCTACCAAAGCTGATTTGAAGGGTCTAGAGCAATTTGGAAATAGAGAGAGGCCCAAACCCAACCATCAGCTTTTATCTCCCCCTTAGAAGCATTCAGCAAACCCTTAATCATTGTAGGGAATCAAACTTGTGTGCTGACTTAATCCCAACTCAGCATAAAGATCACACAATAGTTCATATAGACTATTTTGAACTCATAAAATGTTCTTTAAAAATGCAGGGAGAAATGTTTCCTCTTTACCTTGATGGCTTTCCATTGTTTGTGCTGCAGCAGGGATGAACAGTCTTCTTGCTTATTCTGACTTTCTTCCAGCACTGCAGCCTCGGTCAGAAGTGAAAGGGACAGGCCTGGGAATAATTGATTTCATTGAATTGCAGATGTAGAGGCTCAAGATGATTCAAGTAAATTGTCATCTGTGCTAGACAGTCAGATCTCCTAAGAACCAGAAGTTTGTGTACATGTTAAGTTATTTCTTCACCTTTTCTTCATCTGCCATTTCAGACTGAGTGTGCCATTGGTATACAAACAGTTTTTTCACTGGAAGAGATTGCAAAGAAAACCATCCAACTAAAATCGGAGGTGGGGAAGACTGAACTGGGATCTTTGCTGTTGACCCTTTATTTGACTTTGGGACAACATTGTGCCCATTATTCAAAAGGGGGTCACAAGGAGGATATATTTGTGACATCATAGTGGATGTCTTAGATAAAAACTGCGATGTCATCAACTTTTAAGTGCACTTTTAAAATGCTCAAGTAATGATCAATGTCAAATAGTGACATTCCCATTAATACATTGGTAGAGCCTTACTGTGTGATGCTGTAGCACTGCATTTTAATTAGGAAACTTCAATTTATATATACAAATATATATGTATTTGTGTATCGTATTAATGTTATTTACTGTAAATATTGCTCACCTATCAGGAATAGATCTAGAGTCCTATAATAAGTGTTACCCAGCTTGAAGGAGAAGGAGGAGGAGGGAGAAAATTTTATTTGTTTCTCAAAGGAGTGTCAGCATTCTAACAAATCAGGCAAAACTTTATTCTTTACAACATAATCTCAAACCTATTTGGAGCATGATTTATTGACACATGAAAGAGTACCAATACTCTAAAAGATAGGCCAGATTCTCAGCTGCTCTCAATCAACATTCCTCTGTTGACTTTAAGCCAAGAGGTTGGCCTTGTGTCTTAAAGAAAAGAGGCCCAGTCTAAGTAGTCTTAGACTTTACTTTTTATTTAAAAATGTGTGCTGCTTAATAGTTGAGCACGCCCAACACATGTAAGAAAATAGGTATTTCTGTCCCAGATGAGTTTGGTCTGTTTACACTTGGTTCTGGTTCAGCCTGGTTCTGGTGATGCCATGTCACAAGCTCCAAAGGAAAGTGAACCATCACCAAAAAAGACAGCGATGGAGCAGTCAGCAACCAGGGCAAATTTCTCTCTAACTCCGTGGAGTTTGAACTTGATTTATCAGGTTTTGGTGTATTGTCTTTTGATTTTCTGTAAACGATGCCTTACTGCTATATCAGGAAACAGTGGACAGCAGTGCATGACTTTCCTCTTCTGTCTCAGACCTCACTTCACTCAGCTATAACCTCCCCTCTCTTACCCATTTCTAATCGGTTCTAGTCTTTTTGATCTCTCTGTCTCCTCACATGGAAATCTTTTCCAGCCCCTATCATTTCTAGCATCTGTCCCTGGAGTCAGTCCTCTTCAGCATAATTTGCTCTGAGACAGGCGGAATCGAAAGCCTGCATGACCGGGATATGCCATAGGTTTACCGGGTGGTGCCTAAACCCTCTAAGCTTTACCTCTCTCCCAATGGTATGTGCTGACAGTGTCTTTGCTTTTAGCCACGCCATGAGCCAGCCCATAGTCACCCTCTGGGGTATTTCTCCTTTGCGGTTACAGCTCATCTCAAAGGAACCTGTTTTACAGCCAGTGAAGCTGCGCAGCCTTGCTGCCGGCACACACTCGCCCTCCTTTCCCCAGTGCTCCAGCTGGGGATGTGGTCAGGCTGCCGGCGCATGAGATCACATCCAGCACGGCTACTCCCTGGAAGCCAAAGTGTTGCTTAGTAACCCACTCATGGAAGTACCAGAAGCATTTTTCAATCTGTCAGGTTGGCGAAAAACACTGGCTTCTTGATTTAGAGGCATTCTGCTGTGCGTAGCAGGGCTGTGCTCCATTACCTTGCATCCAGCGCTATCCGCAAGTGAGGAAACGAACCTCCCATTTAATGGAGGGGCTGGGGGCAGCGGAGGGGGGGGGGGGGGAATG